AGGAGCTGATGCCAGGGCCTTAAGTGGAGAGGAAATGTTTTGAGAATGATGAGGGCAATGAATGTACAAATGTGCTTTACACACTGATGTATGTATGGATTGTGATAAGAGTTGTATGAGCCCCTAATAAAACAATTTTTTAAAAAGTTAAGTATAATTATTAGTCCCATTTTACAGATGAGGAAATGAAGGTCAGAAAGGCAAGGTCACACATCTATAAAACGTTAAAGCTCACATTTGCACTCAGTCTAATAAACTGTTTTTGAACGCAATAATACTCTTCTCAAGGAGCTAAGTCTATCCAGTAGAAGATTTGGAGCAGTAGCGAATTTTGAACAGAAGAATGACAAAGTCAACTATAGTGGAAAGGTTCCTACTGGCATTAGAGTGAAAGACTGGAGCAGGGGCTATACTGACCTCTACTCAAAGAAAACTGGTAGACACTCAAATTCTGCATTTAGATAATAAGTGCCACCAAGTAGAATCATGAAGCTAAAGGTAGGAGGGCTTAATGGGCTGAACTGAAAAATAAAGCAAGCCTAGAAGCTTTCGACATTCTGTTGCTTCTGCCTGCAGACGTCCCGTTTCCGGCACGTCTGCCATCCGCAGGTAGTGGTATCGAGCGCCGAGCGCTGAAAACCGAGCTGGGTGAGGGGCCGCAGGTGGCGGCGCAGTCTCGGGGTCCGTATGAGTTTGGCTGGGGGCCGGGCCCCCCGGAAGACCGCCGGGAATCGCCTTTCGGGGCTCTTGGAGGCCGAGGAGGAAGATGAATTCTACCAGACGACTTATGGGGGTTTTACAGAGGCAAGAGCCGGGTCCAGGAAGAGGGGGAGGAAGCGAAGTGAGGAGTCTTGACAAAGAAGGAGGCGGGGATAAAGAGGAGTCTTGAATGCTCTTACGGGACGGGGTGGGGAGTCTGGGGGACGTGCAACGGAGTCTTGTAAAAAACAAAACAAAACACGGTTGAAGGGGTCAGGGATGGAGAAATTCAGTGGAAGGAAACCCCAGAGTATAGAAGAATACCTACTGTGTATTTCTCTAGCTACATCTCCCACCTGGCTATTGACTTCTAATACACGCCAGGTTTATGATGATGGGTTAATTGCGCCTTTCTTTACCTGAGATGTGGAAAGTAATCTCTCCCCAAATTAGAAGGGCTTAGCTGATTCCTTTTTCAGCCTTCAAGTCTCAGTGTCTCCTTAGAATCCTTCCCTGACTGCCCTAAAAGCCTCCCCGTTTGTTTCCTTCATGGAGCACATCTCAGTTTGTCGTTAGTTTTGGTTTGTCTACTTATTTCCCTCGTATGTTAAGCTCCATAAGGTTAGAGAACATCTGTCTTGCCCAGCAGTGTAAGTCCTGTGCCTAGTATAGTGTCGTTACATTTTTATTGATTGCTTCTGTTTATTAAATATTATGGAGTACCCAAAGCATGCTAGGTACTGGGATAGCCTAAGGAAACAATATTAAAAACACCAATCTGCTCTTACATATTTCTTACCCCGTTGGGAGAACTAGTTGGGTCGAGAGGCAGTTAAAAAACTGAGACACACTTAAAAATAAGGGATAAGACTCGGGTGATAGAGTAATCCATAGGAGCCAGAGCTGTGGTCAGGGTAGGCTTCCAAGGAGGGCTGATGGTTAAGTTGAGGTCAGTATAAAAAGTAAACCGTGGCTGTTTGAAGAGCAGTAGGACCGGGAGCTTGGTGCCCATAGTCAGTACACTGGAGGGGGTGGGACAGAGTGGATAAAGGCACTGAGGTCCAGCTCCAGTTGGGGACTTGCAAGTTTACCCTAATTTTCTAGAGCATGAAGGAGAATAAAGAAGGGCTGGCGGAAGTAGACCTGGCCTAGATTATGTAGGGTGTGTATGCGAATGATTTTTAATCTTCAGACTGAGAAGAGTTCATCCAAGTTCCATGGTTGGTCAGATTTTAATTTTTAAAAGATGACCTTTTTCCATTTGAAAGCAGTTACTGTTTTGTTAACTGACCAGATTACAGAAAGAATCATGGCAGATACCTTAGTTGCTACTTCTAATAAACCTGTTGATCTTGTCTTCCCTGTTGGCAGTATCTCCACCTTCTATGAAATGGGTGATCTTTTTCTTCATGCCACCTTGTAGAGAAGATCATTTGAATGGCCACAGGAAATTATTTGCTTCGTTAAAGCGTTTCCCAACAGCATAGATCTCATGAATCAGGTCCTCCATGCAGATGATGCCATATTGGCCAGGAGATCTTGCAATCAAGAGTGTTACCTGTTAGGGCAATACGCTTCTTAATGATTTTGGCATAACCACGCTTGTAGATCGGTTCATTCACTGACTTCAGACGTAGGCACCTCCATGAAATGTATGGTTCCACAATCCTCCGCATGTTCATAGAAGCCTTGTTCAGCTTAACAAAGGTGCCATCGAACATCTGGCAAAGGCGAAGAAGCTGCAACACTTGTCCAACTTTTGGGGCTCACATCATTGATAACTCTTATACTGATAACAAATGCCAGCTTGGGTTCTCCGGGCACATAGAAGCTGCCAGCTTTTCTTGCCATCCGACCCATTCGAATTTCAGTCCTGTCCATCTGCCTATATTCCTTGTGATGATGCTCAGCTTTCTCATGGATAAGCCTCATCATCTTTGCCCTTTGAAGCATCTTTTAGGCAAACTTCTTTCTCAAGCGCTCGATCTTTAGTTCTGTTAAATTCCTTTGCTTTATCTTAAGGGTCTCTGGACCTTCTTTTTCTGCAACAACCTGCGCGGTTCTAGCCAACTTTAAAAAAAGGGCGGGGCGGGGAGAAAGATAAATCTTAATGAAGAGAATAATGTAAGGGGACAAGACTAGAAACTAGATTAGGCAGCTGCAAAAATCCAGGCAATTGGGGATGACCTGAACTGAAGTTGTTGCAGTAGGAGGGAAAATAATAATGGGAAACTTCAAGAAAAATTTAAACAAGAAAACCAAAAAAAACTAAACTCACTGCCATCGAATTGTTAGTGACTCATAGCAACACTATAGGATAGGGTAGAACTGCCTCTCTGGGTTTCTAAAACTGTAATAAATCTTTACAGGAGTAGAAAGCCCTGTCTTTCTCCTGTGGAATGGCTGGTGGTTTTGAACTGATAACCTTGCAATTAGCAGCCTGACTTGTAATCACTATGCCATCAGGGCTCCTTCAAGAGAAACTAAGGAAATAGAATCCACAGAACTTGGTGACTAATAAGAGTCATTACGTACATGGTTCTAACCAAGTAGTTTAAAATAGAACTTTCTCATCCCTCGTCTAAAGCCCATTTCCCTCTCTCCATTAGCCTATTCCTGTCATTTTACGAGTAGTTATTTAATATGTACCCTTCATGCTTCCAAAAAGGATTTAGGTAGGCTTACGATATAAACAAAAAGTAGGAACAGTAAATATAGAGACAGATCATATCATTGTACCAGGAGTCTGTGCTAAAATGGTTATAGCAAATGATATTAAATTTAGCTTTTAGCTGCTTGACAGCTACACCTCAAATTTAGTTTTTCTTTCTTTAATCAGAAAGAAGCATATCATTCAAGAAAGACAAGCTGATTCAGAACTAAATCCAAGGAAGAATGTATCATTGAATTTTTATAAAAATAAAGTAGCCCTCAGTAAAATGATGAAAAAAACCCAAAAAATTAATAAAGTAATAATGGTTTTATAGATGTCTTAGTAATAATCCCCAATAAAAGACAAAAAATAATAGTAAACTCATGATTTAGTGAAAGCCTTTCTATTGATCACTAAGCTAATGTGTAGTTGAACCACTACCGCCTAATGATAGGACTTAATACCAGTTAGAGCTGAGGGAATTAATGTGTTCCCAGGCTGTCTGGCAAATGTAAGGAAGTGATGGTCATCAGTGCAAGATTGAACTCCGGCTGGCTTGGCGTGTTACCCGTCAGTGTTATTTGCTTGCTTTGGCAGCATGTGTACCAAGATTAGCCCATTAGTCTGTATCACTGATTGAAGAGAGCCACATGTTTGAGGTGCCACCTGCCCCAGTGGACTTTTCCTCTCCCAAGTGTTTTTTCTGTCTTTCCTTTCCGTGGTGGCTGCCACTGTAGCTGTAATCGGCATCACCTCGGGCCTAGGCTGTACTCCTAGCTCTCACCTAATCCCTCTGTACACAATAGTTTCACCTCCCCCACATCTTCCAGGGTTCCATGGTTCCCATTACCGATAGTAGTCGCACCCAACTGTGCATCTCTCCCAACACACATGAGAGAAGAGCCATTTCTCACAGTGAAGTTATCTCAATGGTGATTATCAATCTAGGACAGATAAGGAGAGGGAGAAGATTGATAATCACTGGACTGCAGCTTATTAGCCTGGCATTTAAACGTCTCCATAGACTGAATTGTTAAGGCACTGTGTCAGTTAATTTTGTCCAGGGTCTTCCTCTTTTTCGATGCCCCTCTGCTTTACCAAGCATGATGTCCCTTTCCAGGGACTGGTCTCTCCTGCTAACATGTCAAAGGACATGAAAGGAAGTCTCTCTGTCCTTGCTTCTGAAGAGTACTCTGGCTCTTTATAACAAAACAAGTGTGAGCATGGCCCTAGAGTGTACATTAGGTCTTTATGAGTTGGAACTGACTGTGTGGCACTGAACACCAACAACTTAGGCTGAACGCAACATTCTTTTAAGTCTTACAGCCCTAGAGCAATCAATTAACCTTGAAAGGAAACCGACTGTGCTGGATCTAAAGACGTTCAGCTAAAAAGGCTTTTTGCCTGAAACAAACCCTCTACTTAGTTCTGAATCCATATTTGATAAGCATATTTTACACATTCTTCGTTCTATACCTTTGTCCTTGCTATTCCACCTGTGATTCTCCCCTCCCCTCTTGGTGACCTTATACCCATTCCTCAATGTTATCAACATGGTTAGGCTGCAAAGACTGGTCATTATGCAGAAATGGGGGCTTGACTGCATCATTTACAATTATATAAAATTTTAAACTATACAAAAATTATTTGGCAGTTGTTTAACTGCCAATCACATCATTACATAACTGCCAAACATCTAAGAATCATGTTCCTTTTTCCTCGCATCTCGGTGTTCATTATTGGCACACTCAATTCATGAGCAGAAGAGCTAGAAAGTAGATTTTTTGTTACTGTCGTAAATGTGAAATGTCAGATGATAGAGGTGCTATGTGAAGAGCAGGCTTACTGCCATTCTGTATACCATGGCACAAGTCTTCTTCGTCTTTTAAAACCTAAAGCAGAGTTCCACAAAACTGTGGCCTACATACCAATTTTGCTCCACCACGTTTCTGTTTGGCTCTTAGCAGAAAAAAATTGCTTAAGGATTAATGTGTAAAGTTTAGGTCTTCCCAGACAGAGCCTTGGAAGGTTTTGTTGTCATTTAGTACTTTATGTATTGTCTTGTATTGAAACTTTTCTTTTCATGATTCAGGCCTGTCCTCCAGTAGACCGTGAGCTACCTGAAAGGAGGCACCAAGCCACAGTTCTTTGTTTTCTCTAAGACGGTGTGCTGTAGGGAAAGGGCAGTCAATTAATATGGGAAGCGGCTAGTACTAGAGTCAAGAGGCATCAGTTAGGAAAGCTTCTTGCCCTGGGAAAATGAACAACTGGATTGGGAAATGGTATGGGGCAGTTTTCTTAGCAGGTAAATGAAGAGATTCTGTTTCTCCTGGAGATGCATTGATATCTCCAGTGCCAGCCTCCCCTCCTTTCCCTTTGCCCTTAGGAGTCAGGCGATGATGAGTATCAAGGAGACCAGTCAGACACAGAGGATGAGGTGGACTCTGACTTTGACATCGATGAAGGGGATGAACCGTCCAGCGATGGAGAAGCGGAAGAGCCAAGAAGGAAGCGCCGGATAGTCACCAAGGCCTATAAGGTGCGGAGAGATTTCTGATTCTCTGTGACGGTCTCTTTACTGGAAGAACCCAATACTCCCTATACCAGTTTCATTTGCTAAGTAGTAGTTTTCTGTTAAGATTCTAATCATCCTCCCTCTCTCTTCTATCCCCTGGTCTCTGCTCCCCCAATCTGTCCCAGGAACCTCTCAAGAGTTTAAGGCCTCGAAAGGTTAGCACGCCAGCTGGTAGCTCTCAGAAGGCTCGAGAAGAGAAGGCACTGCTGCCGCTTGAACTGCAGGATGATGGCTCGGACAGTGAGTGGGAACATTATTGACCATCGACTAACTTTGGGAGTTGCTAATCCTCTTTATGTGTAGGTTAGAGAAGAGGTGAGGGAAGGGCTGGGAGGACTGGAAGGGTAGAGTTTCCCAAGTGCCCCTAGAGTGCAAAGCCTTATATTAAGGCAGTGGTTCTCAACAGTCCTCATGCCGCGACCCTTTCACAGGTCCTCATGTGGTGGTGACTGCTACTTCATAACTCTGATTTTGCTGCTGTTATGAATCGCAATGTAAATATCTGATATGCAGGATGTGTTTTCATTGTTACCAATTGAACATCATTAAAGCATATGATGAATAACCAAAACAGCATGTAATTCTATATTGTGAAATATTTATTTCTAATGACAAATAAATGAAATGTTGTCTTGAAGCATGGTGTAGCATGGGTAACAGTCTTCACCCTGTGTTCTCATAGGCGGGTGTATCTGCATGTGGGTGGACCTGCTGGACATGGATAGGGGACCGGTCTCTGGGTTCATAAGACCACTGGAAATATGTGTTTTCCAATGGTCTTAGGCGACCCCTGTGAAAGGGTCATTCAACCCCCAAAGGGGTCGAGACCCACAGGTTGAGAACCGCTGTACTAAGGGGTTCGTATCAGTAAGATAAAGAATTGTATAGAGGGTTTACAGGCTAATTTGTGAGGCAAAAAAAGTATAGATGGTCCATTTAAAAGAAAAAAAACACTGCCATCGAGTTGATTCCAACTCGGACCAGCGCTAATAGGATTTCTAAGACTATGACTCTGTAAGGAGCCAGTAGCCTTAAGTTTCCCCACAAGCTCTGACCCGCTGATTTTGTAGCCCAACACTTACTTACCTGTTATATAAAGAATTTCTATTCTTAGAAAACGCACACTGAAGTGTTTAGAGGCAAAGGGCTATGATGTGTATAACTTATTACATGTTTGAAATTATTTCCAATTAAAGGTCAGAATTAAAAGAATAAAGAGGACAGACATGATAGTTCAAAGATTTCTTCCTATCTGCTTGTCTTCTTAGGTCGGAAGTGTATGCGTCAGTCTACAGCGGAGCACACGCGACAAACATTCCTCCGGGTACAGGAGAGGCAGGGCCAGTCACGGCGGCGAAAGGGGCCCCACTATGAGCGACCACTGACCCAGGAGGAGCTGCTTAGGGAGGCCAAGATCACAGAGGAGCTCAACCTCCGCTCACTGGGTCAGTCCGTGGTTCCAGGAACAGTGAGTGGCCAGTGGGGCTGAAAAGGCTGTGAGACCTGGAAGACTGGAGGAACCAAAGCAGTAGAGGTTTAGAACCAGGGAATCGGGAGAAAAGAAATGAGGGAGAGTAGAACAAGCTAAATTGAGGTACTTTGGGTGTAAAATAAGAATCATATAGAACTGATGTTAAATACAGGTTCTTGTTCACTCGCCATAAGTCAGGAGACAAATGTCATAACCTACCTGTATCTTGCTTTCATTGCTCATAAAACACCAGTGCGACCTGTCATTGGTTCGTTCCTGGACAGTCTTCATGTGGTTTGGCATCTCTCCACCTCCTTGTTTAACCTCTCTTACATCTCAAAAGTGAGGAACTCAGATTGTACCCTATGCTAATCCTGCCTTGTTAACATAACAAAGACCACCCATTCCCAAATGAGATTATAACCATAGGCATAGAGGTTAGGAATTATAGTACAGTTCATAGCACTCTACCCTTTGGCCTCTCAAGGTTCTCATACTTCCTAATGCAAAACACATTTACCCCATCATGCCGTGCCAAAAGTCTAAATCAACTCCAAGTCCCAAATCTCATCTTTTGAATCATCTAAATAAAATTTGGGGGATATTAGGCTTATTCCACCTAGGAGCAAAATTCCTCTTCATCTGTTAATTTAATGAATAATCTAGACTAAAAGTTATCTGCTTCCAAAATACAATGGTAAAACAGACAAAATGTAGACATTCCATTATAAATGGGGAACAATTGAAGGAAAGAGGAGCTAAGAGGCGCCAAGCCCAAAACCCAGATGAACTCTCAAAGCGTGGAAAGAATCCACTTCTCTGAGACTGTGGCCTCTTTTAACCCTGCTGTTTAGGTTCTGGGGGAGAGCCCCTCAGCTCTTGCTGCTTTCAGCTCTGCTTTCCAGCCCACCAAGATGGCCGTTCTATGTTTTCAGCTCTGGGCGGCCTCATTCTCCTTGTTCATCTGATGGAGACACCAACCCCTGGGCCCCAGCAGGCCTCCCTCCTGTGCTAGAACAGCACTATCTCCTTAGCTTAGGGGAGTGGCCTGTCTGCCCGTTTTACCTTAATGACGGCCCGAGATCATGCCCCCACCCTTTGAAGCCAAAAAGGTCCTGTTTCCTCTGCTGCTTCCAATAGTTCTATTGATCTCTGAGCTGCTCTGGAAATGATACAATAGAACCCCGACCTCGACGCTAGAATCCGTTCTAGAAGGAGCGTTGAGATGCGATGCAATGAATCATTTTTTCCCAGTAGCAATAACTGAAAGCAGATTAATCCATTCTTGACCACCAAGTTTTTACCCTAACCTTGCCTTTTTATACAAAACATTACACACAAATTTCAAAGTAAGTTCAGAGTTAAATAATGTAATTTAAATAAGAAACACAACATTTAAAAAGTTTTTAACAACTGCAGTATGTCCCATACCTTGAGTTTGATGAGGATCTGGCTTTATGGACATGGATGTGGAGAGGAGGTATGGAGAGAGTCATTGTTTGGAAGCGGAATCCCCTTCCATAAAATCTACTGGTAGCTGCTTTTCAGAAGTTTTTTCCCTTCTTTGTCTTTTTTCACTAGGACCTGGCTGGCTCTCTCTCTAAAACCAATCAGTCGAATGTGGTCTGCTGTTGGCGTTTCCTTAACTGATTTCCAAATGGGTTTACTAAATTATCACCACAATATCAATAACACGGTCAACCAGTTCCTTATCATGATGATTCTTTTCAAAAAACTTTCTTAGGACTCCTGTTTTTTATCCGAAAACAGTAAAAGAAGCCGCAAACAATAAGAAAATAATAGCAAAACACTTGGAACACAGCCCCCCAAGGTTTAAACAATGCGTACTAGCAACACCAATGAATGCTGAGTGACTGAAACACGACCTGCATTTTGTTTACAAGAATCACGTGCGTCGGGTCGGGTTCGATGTTTTGTTCGAGCCCCGATGCAAAATTTTCTTGACGTTTCAAATAAAAGTCTGATGATGTCGAGTGCTGATGCAGTAGAGGGCCAGGGTTCTACAACACTTCTATTTTCTTGGTGGACAATAGATAGAGCTTCTTTGCTTTTTTTTCTCCTTCCGCATATGGAATTCCATGAGGCAAGTAGCCTTTTTCCCTTTCTCTGTCCCTTTCTCTTAATTGATGTTGCAAAAGATTGTATGGCCACATTCTAGGACACATGTCTTTAGTTTTTAGATTAGAATTTTCTAATTCCTTAAATTCTGTTTTCCCTTTGTATCATTCATTTTTAAGTCCATCGGTTTCCTCGCCGTTTCACTATGAGGAGTAAGGAGAAACTACACCTCCCCTTAAAAACCAGAAATCTCAACAGCCAAGTATCCAAGTTTGTCATTTATAAATTCTGCCTTCTACTAAACATCTTTACATCCTTGAGACAAGTTCTTTGCTACTACATAAAAAGCATCACCCTTCTATTGTCCAGCCACATGGTCATGCTCTTTAAAAGCCTCACCAGAAGAATATCTAATGCCCACATTTCTAGAAACATTCTTTTGTTGGTGCCATGTGTATTATCTAAGGCGATAGAGCGTATCTCCGTATTTCTCACCACTTGATTCTTAGCCCTGTGGGCAAGCCCGGCTTCTACGATTGTTGTTACATGTCATTAAGTTGGTTCTGACTCATGAGGACCCTATGTGCAAACAACAAACTACCACCTAGTGCTGAGTCATCCACAGAATTATTAACAATGTTGTAGCCCCTTGTTGTAGCCACTGGGTCAATCCATCTGATGTAAGGCCTCCTTCTTCACTGCCCCTGTACTTTACCAAGTGTGATGCCCTTCTCCAGGGACTGAGCTCTGCTGATAAGTTGTCCAATGTACTTAAGACGAAGTCTCACTCTCCTTTCCTTTAAAGAGCATTCTGGCTGTGCTGTTTCCAAGACAGATTTGTTCTTTTGGTAGTTCATGGTAATTATAACGTTTTTGCCAACACCATCATTCAAATGCCTTAGTCAATGCCCAATTTTCATATGCATCTGAGGTGATTGAAAATACCATGATTTGAGTCAGGCGTAAAGGTTAGGGATGATAATACATATTTGGGGGGAAGCAATTCACGTCGTAATACCTGCTGTGTAGTTGGTTTTGTTGGTTTGTTTTCAGTATCCCTCAGCAACCCGTATCTGCGCAGGAGCTCAGGAAGGAAAGTGAAGGCTGCCCGGTCTGGAGGGTGGAGAGGACGCAGAGGGATCAGGCCCTAGATGCAGTGAAGCAGTCGAGGAACGGGTGTCAGGAGCAGGGGAGCAAACAGGAGAAGGATGGGATTTTGTGGATATGTAAATAGCCGAGGCTCTGTAATCTGACATTTCAGAGCTGAGGCACTTTCAGGCGGAGACCTTTGGACTGAAGCTGTAGAGGCATGAGAAACTGACGTGTCGGGTTCAAGAAGGTTGTTGGAGATTAGGTGGTAGAAGGCTTGCCCGTGTGGACGTTGAAGTCACCAGGGCGACTAAGGTGATTGGAGATAAGGTGGAGAGGAAGAGTGGAAACCAGTGCCCAAGTCCACAGTGAGTGCGGGTGCCCAGACCTTGGAGAACTGGTATCCGAGACTGGTGGCACCTCCTCAGAAGGGAAGGGGATTAGGAGGGAGGTGGAGGGACAGTGACCTGAGAGCTGCAGTGGGGGGCTCCTAGGGCCCAGGCATATTTCCTCACACGAGGTGTGAGAGAGGTGGCCTTTGCAGATGCCAGATTTCAGTTCAGACAAACCGTGGTGTCGGTGAGCTGCTATTAATAAAGCAGCCACGGCTAAAGGAAGGGTTCCAGAGAAGGGAGGAGCCCGAGGGTGAATTAGGGAAGAGAAAGCATTCCCCATCAAGTCATGCCGCTGGAGAGATTTTGCGGGGAGGAGAGGGACACAGAGTGGTAGTCAGACTTATAAAGGATTTGGTCCATACACACTCGTTTAAGAATGACACAGAAATTTGGAGTTCATTCAGAGGAAAGGAGCCAGGAACAGCTAAATCTGTGTATTTATTAACAAACATGTATTGAGCCCCGTGATACGTAGAATATTGGGCGAGCCTGATAATATATCGGGAATTTGCGTCACAGTCACTGCCCGTCAAGAGAAGGCCTGAAAGCAGCATCAAACTGCTGTAGGGCAATGTCGCCGAGTGCTGCACTGCCGAGGGCGAAGAAGCAAGTAGCCAGAAGACATTAAGAGCAGGCACAGTATGGAGATTGCCAAGCAGAAAACGTATGAAATGTGAGGTGCTAGAGGCCGTAGGACACTTGAGACCAAGGAGCAGGACTGTGGGTGGGAAGCGGGGAGACACTAACCATTCCTTTGTTCCTTTTACCCTGAAGAGACCTATGAGCGACTTGAGGCTGACAAAAAGAAGCAGGTTCACAAGAAACGGAAGTGCCCTGGGCCCATTATCACCTATCACTCTGTGACAGTGCCACTTGTTGGGGAGCCAGGCCCCAAGGAAGAGAATGTGGATGTGGAAGGGTGAGTGAGTCATTGGGAGGAGGAGAGAGGTTCCCCCCATCTGTATTCAGCTCGGGTTCTCTCGGCCCCATGTCACTTGCTGGCCTCCCCAGTTCTCCCTAACATGAGGGTCTTCCAGATTCCTTCCTTTAGCACCTTCTCTTTCATGTTCCTTTGTCTCAGTTACTGAAGAGGTACTGTCAGACTGCTCCCTACCGTTCTGCCTCCTTTTCTTTTGCCTGGCCTCTTTCTTTCTGAATCTGTTGTCTTCTCTCCTTGGCTCCTGACTTATGTTTTCATCTGTCGTTTGCTTTCAGACTTGAACCTGGTCCCACAGCTTCAACACTGACTCCCCACGCTGGAACCGGACCTGTCATCCCCGCTGCCCGCTGCTCACGCACCTTCATCACTTTTAGTGACGATGCGACATTTGAGGAATGGTTCCCCCAAGGGCGGCCTCCAAAGGTCCCTGTTCGGGAAGTCTGCCCAGTGACACATCGCCCAGCCCTATACCGAGACCCGGTTACAGACATACCCTACGCTACTGCCCGAGCCTTCAAGATCATTCGTGAGGCCTACAAGAAGTACATCACTGCCCATGGACTGCCACCAACTGCCTCAGCCCTGGGCCCTGGCCCTCCACCTCCCGAGCCCCTCCCAGGCCCCGGGCCCCGAGCTCTGCGTCAGAAAATCGTCATCAAATGAGATGGCGCTTCCTTAGCAGCATCCTTCCTGCCTGACTTGGGTCTCTGGATGTCCCCCGCTTCTCTTCTCTGTCATCCCTGACCTTTACCCAACCGTGGTGTTCTTCGGAATTCCTTCTCCTTTGTTTCTGCTGGTTTTGTTTTTAATAAAATAGAATGATCCCTTTTGTCTGTTGTCTATTAGAGAGTTGCGACTAAGAAGTATTTGTACATGTCAGAGTACATGTTGATCTTTATATTGGTTTGATAGCATTTATTATGAGTTACCTTTTTTAAATTGTAGAGTACACCTACAACTATATTTTAATTAATACCTTAGAGTTAAGATACCAAAAAAAAACTATATCCACCTTTATATGCCTCATAAGGAACCCTGGTGTCTTATAGTGGTTACACATTGGGCTACTGACTGCAAGGTCAGCAGTTCTAAACCTGCTGCTCTGTGGGAGAAGTATCAGGCTTTCTACTTAAATATAGTCTCAAAGGAAAATTACAGCCTTGGAAACTTCCAGGAGCAATTCTACCCTGCCCTATCTGGGTCACTATGAGTTGGCATCGACTTGGTGGCAGTAAGTTTGCTTTAAGTTTGCAAGTTTTATGTGCCTCAGGAAACTTGAATGTAGCAGGCACCAAGTAGTAATCTGATTCTTGACAGGACGGTAGTGCCTAGGGCTCGGGCTTATACGGTGCGAAGGGGAGGGAGTGCCATGTCTGTGAGCGGCCACTAGAGGCTCTCAGGGCTGGGCAGGGTATGGGGGCTGTGTATATGTGATCTCCCACTACCCCCCACCTGGCCCGAGCTAAAATAATAAAATGCTGAGCTCACTGTTCCCCCACCCTCTCCCCCGGCACCGGGCTCCTGCTGCCGGCACCGGGCTCCTGCAGAACAGACAGACCAACCAACGGAAGGGGAGGTGGCCATCAGGACTGGTAGGTGGGGAAGGCAGGGGGCTTATGGGTCAAAGCCTGGTGGGAAATGGGAGGAGAAGAGTGGCACTAGTTGGGAATAATGGGGAAGGTCCCTCCATCTGTCTCTGTCACTCAGGTATGTTTCTGCCACTGTCTGTCCTGTCCCGTCTGTAGTTTGTCAGTGTCTCAACGTTTGTGTTGCTCGCACATTTAACACGGAGTGAACGTGTAGCTTGCATGTACTTTTCAGATTGTAAAAGACCGGCAACTTCAATCTATCCACTAATTTGAGACAAGCTATCCCATGTAGAAGGCATTTCCCACCCATTGAGTCAGTGTCACCTTCCAGTTCAAAGCTAAGGACAAACTAGGGGGACTAGGTCCCTTCAGAGGTCTAACCACCCTTCCCCCAACCTGGAAGTCCCTCCAGCTTTCTGAACCCGGGGCTTTCTCAGGATCTAGAAATCTAGCAAACACACACAAGGAACTCTTGATCTGCCCTACAATAAAAGAAGAAACGGGCAGGGCAAGAGAACTGTCCTCCTTTCCCCCATAATCTTCTGCTTTTCCTACTTGCTTTTGGGGGAAAAGCAGGATTCTGGGAAAGAATTTCCCTGGAGGTCTCTGCCCACCTCTTTCCCTTCCATAGGAACTGGGCTCAGAGCCAGCTGTGTTGGCAGGGGGCCTGCCAGCAGCTGTTATAGGTTATAGGGCAGGCAGGGCTGCTGCCAAGGTGTCTCTGTCATATAGTGGGAAGGCATATAGTGGGAAGGCAAACCCAGCTGGAAGCTGGGGAAGCAGGGAAAAGGCACCTCTGCTTTGACCTACAAAGATCCTCACATTCCCCTGACTTCCTCCAAGGCGCCCTGTCCTCCGCTCTGCCCCACTGCCTGATCTCGTCCTATTGTACCCACTTACTTCCTCCGTTTTCACGCACTCTCCCCATACTCTCCAGGTGCCCAGCCTGCGTGAGCACCGCACAGCAGGGAGGGGTGGGGGCCACCATGTCATCATATCTGAAGGAGCTGGAGAAATACAGAGACATAGATGAAGATGAGATCCTAAGGACCCTGAGCCCAGATGAGCTAGAACAGCTGGACTGCGAGCTACAGGAAATGGACCCCGAGGTAGGGCCTCCGTGGAGAAGCCACACCATCTGCGGGAACCAGGGGCGGTCCCCAGGAGTTTGGGAAGGGTGCCGGACCCTGGGTGGCTCAGACCAGGGTTGTCTGTCTACAAGGCCTGGCGTCCCAAGAAGGCCAGGGAAAAAATGTCTGAAGATATATTAGGGAGCCCTAGAGGTGGCCCAGGTCAGAATAGAGATCTGACTTGCCCCCCCAAACTCATCCCTAAGAACCTGCTCCTGCCTGCCGGACTAAGACAACGTGACCAGACAAAGAAGAGCCCAACCGGGCCGCTGGACCGAGAGGCCCTTTTGCAATACCTGGAACAGCAGGCACTCGAGGTCAAGGAGCGTGATGACTTGGTGCCCTTCACAGGCGAGAAGAAGGGTATGGGGACCCTGATATCCATGCTTCCTGGAACCCAAACATCTGTCTCTCCTGAGCTCCCACCCTGCCGACCCCCTGCCCCTTCCAGCCTCTGAGCTTCCCAGGGACTTGGTGCCCACTGCCTGCAATCCGAGCATACACTCTTGAGTTCCTCATGAGACCAAAGGCTCAGCAGTTTGATTCCTGAGCTTGTAGAAGATTCAGACTCTGCAGTGTCCCTTACTTACTCCCCTCCCGGCCCCTCCCACCCACCTCTCAGAGAGGGAAACTGGAGGCCCAGCTCTTGGGAGAGACAGCCTCTGCCTGAACCCGCCTTCATCTCCCCATCAGGGAAGCCCTTTATTCAGCCCAAGAGGGAAATTCCAGCTGAGGAGCAGATTACCCTGGAGCCCGAGCTGGAGCAGGCACTGTCCCACGCCACGGACGCTGAAATGTGTGACATTGCAGGTGGGCAGCTGCGGACAGCTGAGGAAGGTGGGAGGAGCAGAGGCAGACCTTGGCCAAGGCAGGGGCTCGTGGGGAAGGCCCTGAACCAGGTCATAGAGGTCAGAGAAAACCTCGAAGATTTTTAACGTTTCTTGATTTTGTATCGATTCATTCATTTCCTTTCAACTTAATTAACACCTCCAAGGGCCATTTCATAGGGATTGTGGAAGCAAAGGAAAGCAGAACTCTTTAGAAGGAAATCGGCAAACGGTCTGGGAGGACTCTTTCACCCTCTAGTGCTGCGTAGGGAACTTCCCTTAGCCCTCTCAGAATGCTTGAAAAGCTACTCCCTTGGGCAGTGTATAGGAGGCCCAGTGGTGCAGTGGTTATGCATTGGGCCGCTAACAGCAAGCTTCGCAGTTCAAAGTCACCAGCCGCTCCTCTGGAGAAAGATGGAGCTTACTACTCCCATAAACAGTCTCAGAAACTCACAGGGGCCGTTCTCCCCTGTCCTATAGGGTAGGACTCGATGGCAATGATGGACCCCTGGGACCCAGGGAGCCTCTCTGAAGCAGAAGAGGTCAGGCCTCACAAAGGCTGCAGCAGACAGATTCAGAATGAGGTGGTGAGGTGCTCAGAGCCCAGCCCTTCTCAGCTGTGGGCCCTCTCTGCTTTCCCTCTCCAGCGATTCTGGGCATGTACACGCTGATGAGCAACAAGCAGTACTACGATGCCATCTGCAGTGGGGACATCTGCAACACCGAAGGCATTAGCAGTGAGTCGGGTGGGGGGGGGTTCCACCCCAGGGCTCTTGGCAAGTAGTCTTCGAGTCTGAGGAATAATCCTAAAGGGTGAAGCGGGTGACTTGGGAAGAGGACCCGAGTGCATGGTGATCAAAGGACCAACGGGAAACGGTGGGGAACATGGTGGGGTTCCCTTCCTGCCCTCATCCACCAGGTGTGGTACAGCCTGACAAGTATAAGCCAGTGCCGGATGAACCCCCCAATCCCACCAACATTGAAGAGATAATAAAGAAAATTCAAAGCAACGACAAGGAGCTGGAGGAGGTGAACCTCAATAACATACAGGTATTGACGCCCGCCCTCTCCACATAAGTGGGATCATGACTCCAACATGTCCAGGTCCGGTGCCCGCTATCTTCTGGTCCCCTTCTGGTAGGACATCCCGATACCCATGTTAACTGAGCTGTGTGAGGCCATGAAGACAAACACCTACATCCGGAGCTTCAGCCTGGTGGCCACCAAGAGTGGTGACCCTATCGCCAATGTAAGGCTCGCAGGCACCCCCACCCCTCCCCCCACTCCGGCATGCACCCTTGGCAGAGCTGTCATCAGGGGTCATGCTGGAGGGCTCTCTTAGGGCTGCTCTCCCACCCACAAGGCTGTGATTCTCAGCTTATTTCCCCAAAGGGCCACAGCCCTAACACTCCCAGCTCCACTGCACACCCTATCCTCCTGCTTGCCCCCCAAATCTGCCCTCCCCTCTAGCCCCTTCCAGCTCCTCAATGACTCAAAGAGCTGTGTTTCCCTCTTGCTCCTGTTCTTTCTCTCCTCAGTCATCTGTGAAACTTCTCCCTAATCCTAACCCAAGTCCCTACTACCCAGGCGGTGGCCGACATGCTGCGCGAAAACCGTAGCCTCCAGAGCCTCAACATCGAATCCAACTTCATTAGCAGCACAGGGCTCATGGCTGTGCTGAAGGCGGTTCGGGAAAATGCCACGCTCACCGAGCTCCGGGTAGACAACCAGGTCAGCACTCCCTTCCTCAGGCTTTGCCTTCAGCTAACACCCACCGAGGCCTCTCGCGGAGCCAACCACCTCATCGAATCACCTCTGCAGAAACAGGCCCCTTTGATCTCCCAAAGGGGTCCGTGGTCTGGGATGGTGAGTAGCCCCCCAAGGTCACAGATGGCTTCTGTCTCTCCATTCTCCAGCGCCAGTGGCCTGGTGACGCCGTGGAGATGGAGATGGCCACTGTGTTAGAACAGTGTCCTTCCATCGTCCGCTTCGGCTACCACTTCACCCAGCAGGGGCCGCGAGCTCGGGCCGCCCAAGCCATGACCCGGAATAATGAACTACGTGAGTGACTGCAGACGAGAGGGTGGCGGGAGGGCAAAGAGGGGATTGCTGGTGGAGACTTCCACTGCAGGCTTAGTGACGAACAGCCATGAGGCTGCCAAAGAAAACAGTCAAAGGAGAAGTTCAAATCCTATGAGTGATTAGGAAGGAAGCTGGGCAGAAAAGCCAGCCGCCCCTGGCAGAATGTACACAATGGGGTTTGGGAAAGGTCATGGAAAAGCTCCATTCTCTTCATCCTCATCCCATTTTTCCATGAACGTTTTGAAGCCCTTCAGAGACAAGCGGAGACATGGAGAGGAAGCTAGAGGTGGCTGTGTGGACGCATCCTTTTTCCGGCCCGTGGGGTAGTTTCTTCTTTTCTTAAGGCAGTGTGGGCCTGCCAGGTAGCTTCAACCACGACTTCTTCAGGGGTCTGTCTAGGCACTGGAAAGGAGAAGAGTACTCCGCAGAAGAGGCTGGAACAAGGGTGTCTCTTCTTTATAGGTCGCCAGCAAAAGAAGAGATAACGCTGCCTGTCCCTGTACCAATCAGAGCTGGGAACCCGGGGCGCTTAAATTCTCATCTATTTCCCTTTCTGTAAATAAAGGCCCTTCTGTCCACCCACTCTGCGTCCTTCCTTGGGTTCTGGGGTGGGAATCTTGGCACTAACCTCTAAGGGATATTGCCAGCTCACCAGGGGATTATTTATACTCTGGGGATCAGCAGGCAGGGGTTCAGGTTACCAGGAGGAGGTGGGGAAGCTCCCTCCCTTGGTGTTCCCCATGACACCGCCAATGCCTTTGATGTATTCAACTTTCACAAGGTACCTCATCTCAGCCCTTTCCAGGTGTACCCCCCCCTGCCCCCTTGTCAGTGCCTACCCATAGCCTTCATGTGATTTGAAGGGGAAAGGACTTTTAGTGGCTGTGGGAAGGAGGCAGACAACATGAAGGGCAAAGACCTCCTCTGACAGACTTATTAATAGGGCATCGGGCTGCATGCAGCTGACGCTTGGCATGCCCTTGGTAGGTGGGGGAAGGGTGAGAAGTATGGGAAGCTGTGTACATCTTAGGGAAGGAGTGTCTAGCCTGGGAATGAGCAGATTGGAAATCCTGGGAAAGGACAAGGAACTGGACTCCAGGAAAAGTGGGCTCCCAGTGCCTGTGGTAGTTTATTGGGGGAACTGAAGGGGAGGGAGGGCATCAGTCCAAGGGGAGGTCAGGGGGTTCCTCCTCATCAGAGTCAAACTCAACATTCTCATCTTTCACCCATCGGCCTGGTCCATCTGGGAGCCATCCAGAGCTGGAAAGATGAGAGAAAACAACCTGGGTCAGAATGAGGGCAGGAGGGTTTATTAGGAAGTTAGTGGGGATAAGAAAACAAACTGAGGAGGCTTGAGAAAAGGATAGTTAGAGAGGAATAAAAGGGCAAATGTGAGGCAAGGGACCGGACTCACTCACCTTCGAAGGGTGAGGTAATGATCCAGGGCCCTTCGGCGTGTGGGGCTCATGGGGGCGGGGGCAGGGGCGGTTGCTGACTTCTTGGCCTGTGGACCAGCCTCAGGCTCAGATCCCCTGCTGATCTCCTTTTTGAGTCCAACCTCTGGGGGCGGCAAAGGGGTTGTGGAGACTGAGGGGCCAGCGGCTTCAGATCTGGGTAGAGGGAGAGGAGTCTATTAAAGTGGTTAAGGAAAGGGTCAACTCTCCCCGTCACTCCCAACCCTTAAATCAGTCTTTCCTCAACTATGTTCCTCGAGCTATTATTGAGTATTTTGCATAAAGAGGTGAAATAAAATTTATTTGGGAGAGCTTGGGTTAAGCCACATTATTAAAGTTTCTGCTTGTTATTAATTTCAAGACTTTGCAGAGCCCTTTGAATAGGCTAATACCACTGTCCTTTATCTAGGATAACAAAGCATCATTTCCCAAACTTTATTGGAGATGACTAAAGTCACTTTCTCCAGGAATACCAGTTAGCAACTTCAGAACACTAGTATTCCTCAGAATACGATTCGAAAAACATTCATTTTAGAGACTTCTCCTTCTGGCCCGGCCTCCCTACACCAGTAGTTCTAGATCACCACTAGCTCCATCTTTTGCTGACCCTAATCATTAGGAAATACCTTTCCAGTTATTTCCCTACTCTGAAATCCCCCTACTATAGAAACATTCAGTGGAGAAAGACTAGTTTTCTAGATGCCAGGGTAACTTCGTAATCTGATAGTCGACCCCAGCCCACCGTAGCTATAAAAAATTCACCAAAATGGACCATAGACATAAATTTAAGAGCCAATGCAGTTTTGCTATGCTCTCCTTATTCCCCATCTTTGAGACACCGTATTTTCTCCCTCGGACCTGTACTTCCGCCGGCAGCAACTGTTATAGTGGGGAGCTCTGTGCAGAGCACTCTGGGTGATAAATCGCGTCTGGGCCAGCAGAGGAGCCTGGTATGGAAGTCATGGGAAAAGAGTCAGAGCCTGCAGACCTGAGAAGTCCAAACCCTTCAAGTCTGGAGACACACTTTCCCTTTTCTAATTACCTCAGCTTTGGTATCTTCCCTCAATTCACGCTGCTGTCGTGGACGCTGTTCCGTCCCCTTTCCTGGTTGTTTCTTGCCAAAGAAACGCTGCAAGCCTGAGGAGTATGGCAAAGAGAATTAAAGCTAAGTACCAAGAATGGTCTGCAGAGGTCTTGAGGACTTACTCCTTATCTGCTGTCTTCCTCTACACTTACTGGACAGATGTTTCTTCCCTGCACGGTGGGCAGTCAGCATGGCCAGGGTGTCCAGCACAGGCCGGTGAGGGCAGATAGCACAAGCAAAGCTGAGGAAGGGAACCGTAGATCATTGCCACAAGGGTAAGGATGGGAGACCTGCTGTCGGGTCCATCCTGTCCTTAAATGCTTCCAAAGCCCAACATTCCAGGTTTCCTAACCTCCACCACACATATCCCTGCCACTTCCAGTCCTCCACTCCCCGCCAAAGAATTCTCCATACTGCAGGATTCCTCCTTCACAGCCTCCCTCAGCCTCAGCCTCGAGGCACTGCTCAGCCTCACCGTCCGTCCCGTAGCATCAGCGCCTCATCCTCCGGTATGAAACTGGCCAGCAAGTCCCCGACTCTTCGTTTCTGAAGGGGGTAGGGGGAGAAGTCTGGATGGGATTAGCGGCACAGGAGGGGGAAATGGAGAGGAAACGACGGGGACGAGGAGTCAAAGGGAGTAAGGACCATAGGGGACCGGCGACCACAGGAGAAGCTCTAGTGGCCGGACTCCCGCTCGCCCCGCACCACCCGGAGCTGTTTTCAGAGCAACCAAAGCTCCTTCATCGTCTTCAGAGGGCGGCTGAAGCTGCTCCAGACCCGCTCCTTTGGCGCTTACTTTGAGCACATTGAGTTGACTCCAATCGTCTCCTTCCCTCTTGAAAGACATAGCGACTGTGGGTCCCAGAAACAATGTATTCGCGCTCACTGCACTCGCCAGCCTTTTCAGGCCACCGTAGCAAGAGAGGGGCGTGTCCCCTCCCGCTTCCGGTGTTTTTCTGGTTGGCCTCCGACTCCGGAGGATACGCTTCCCAGCACGCACCGCGCGACGCCGCAAGTCCGCCTCTGGCCCCAAGGAGACTGCATTTCCCATGGTGCCTTGCGACCCCGCAAGCGCTTAGCCTTTTGGGAAATGAAGTCTTTTCTCAAAGAACTTGTCACCGGATTGGCACCAGGGCTCTTGCATTCTTAGCAGATTCGCGGCATTTAGAGGGCCCAAAACCTGTATGTGGAGGTCATGTTTGAGCCCGAATGTAAGACTGGTCTGAAGTAGAGCGAGTCCTTAAAGGATCTCTGAGCGGGTAGCGGACTACCCATGTACCTTCCTCACAGGCTTCGTCGACGGCGCCACCCATTTGGGGTGGGCCCGGCTCGTTGCTGACCCTAGAGAACCCACCCCTGGACGGGGCGGAGCCGAGGGGAGGGGAACCCGGAGGCCGGGCAGCCCCGCTGGGGTGCCCACCGAGGAAAGGGTGTGAAGGGGGCACACAGAGGTCAAAGGTCAGAGGGATCGTGGCGTTGTAGGGGCTCTAAAGAGAGACTCTAGTAAAGACTGACTATCCAAGCGCCAGGTTTGTGAGAAAGGAGCTTGGAGGTCAAAGAAGCCGGACAAAATATCAGGCTAGAATAGCCTGGGTCCCTGGGAGACGGAGCGGAGGGTGCCGGGGGCGGGGGCGGGGTCTGGGCGTGCTCGGGCTCGGGCATTGACGGCGAGGGCAGCTTGAGGAGAGACAGGAAAGGAGTCTCCTGGGTACCCTTCGCAGACCCGGCCCCGTTCCTGTTGTCCGCGTCGCCGGTCCTTTCTCGCTCGCAACCGTATCCACCGACTGCCGGGCGAGATGGCGTCCCCCTCTAGACAGCCCCCGCCCGGGGGGTCAGGACTGCTCCGAGGCAGCCGGGCTCGCTCTTATGGAAGCCTGGTGCAGTCCGCCTGCTCCCCGGTGAGGGAGCGACGCCTGGAGCATCCGCTGGAACC